AATGCCTCCATAGTGGTTCAGCAGTTCTGACACACAGACTGTGCAGTTCTATAAAGGTTGTAATTTGTCATCTCATTACTTTTGAAGACTTTAATGATAAGGGATGTTAGGACTACTGGTCTGCAATTTTTGGCTAGCGCTCTATTTTTCCTTTAACCCTTTCAGGGTCGAGAGGCCCTCTCCTAAACTTGTTCTCAGGGTCGAAAATTTTTCGGAAAAAAAAAAAATTATTTTTTCTTGTGAAATGACAGATTCTTTTCCTGATCATAATGACACCAAAAGTATGAAATTTGATGGAAAACTTATGGAATTATGCTCTCGCAAAGTTAGCGGTCTCGACGATGTTTACGCATTGGCAATTTCGCCCACATTAAGCCCTATTTATGGCCAATTCCAGTGCCCTAGTCGACCAAAATCGTAACTATTTCGCTAGAACTCCATTTTTTCTATCAAATGAGTACAAGAAACCACCCATTTACCGATTTCAACTATCCAATAAAGTGGTCAGAAATTGGCAATTTTGCCAATTTCACACAAATTTCAAAAGATGCCAATTTCTAAATAGGGTCCAGATTAAACAAGATTGACATTCCTGGCACTAAAATAATTTTTTTCTGTTCATTAGTCACGTTCCCACGCCCTTCTTACATTTCTTTTGCTTTCCACTTTGAATTTTTATTCTCACAAAAAATAGAAGATTTACTGTTATGCAGATTACTGCATTAGTGTAGAAATGGTATAAATAATATCAGTGTTCTTGTGAAAGAATATTAGACTCACCAGTTGACGTGTATTGGACACGTGGCATAATTTGCTTACTTTTGAACTTTGGCAAAAATCGAACATTTCTGCTACTTTGAGCTCAATTTCAAGGTACTTTTCATTGTGAAAACAATCAAAATCATCTCAATTTCTGTAATATGTCTTCCATTCAATAAAATGAGACCAGGAAAACTAGAATATAACCATAAATACCATACGAAAATATAGTGCAAAGTCGCTGTTTTAAACCAAAACCACGGTCAGTTTTTTTTTTTTCCTCTCTTTGCGCACTGTGTGCTGCAGGATTTTTTTTTATACTGCACACACTGACCACATAGACCCATTCTTTCATATGTAGGCCTACCAGCTTTCTCTTGCTAGATTTGAAGACGCTACAATTTAAGCGTACTAGTACGTCAATAACCCTGGTGCGTAAGCCATACTAGTACGTCGGAAACCCTGAAAGGGTTAAGGCCTCTGGTATTTCACATAGATCTAAGCTCTTTCTCCAAAGAATTTTGAGGGCTCATGCTAGTGACACTCTGCACTTTTTTTATAAATAAGGAATTCCATGAAACTGGTCCAGATGCTGAGTGGGCATATTTTCAATTTCTTTTTCAAATTCCATGGGATTAGTACTAATGTCAGTTTATCAGTTTGCACAGCCTCCCGATGGGATGAAAAAGCTTCTGCATTCTCTACCTTGCTTTCATATATAGATTGGGTTGCTGAGCATCAACTTGCTGGTCTTTTAAAATTTTGCTCATTTCCTGTTCATCATCTGTGTATGAATCTCCTGTTATTAAGGGGTCAATTATTCTACAGGTAGTTCTTAGCTTTGATTTTGCATATGCACAGAAATATTTGGGGTTTCTTGCAATATCCTAGATGGCTTCTTGTTCCCTTTGTGCTTCTTCTGTTTGGTACAGATTGGCCATCACTTATCTGGCAATCAGTAATCCGGCACTAATTTGCTATCATAATTTCAAATTTCCAGGGTCGCCCCACCAACCTGCCGCTACTGTTTGGTGGCGCTACTTGCTGCATAAATCATTCTAATTTCTTTTTCTCCATCTATTGTTATAGCCTGCTCACTTTTAGCCCTAGCCAAGGTTCCAACAAATAAAAGAAATGCCTTTTGTCGTGTAAAGCACATACACCGTACATTGTCCATAATAGATAAGATGGCTTTGAAGCCACTGTCGGTCGCCTTGAGCTCAGCTCACTCAGATAAGCTGTGACAGGTAAATTTGGGCCTACATATGAGAGAATAGGTCTGTGTGGTAAGCGTACACTTTATAAAAAAAATATTGCAGCACACAGAGCATAACGAGAAAAAATGGTGACCATGCTTTTGGTGTAAAACTGCGACTTTTCGGTGCATTTTCGTATAGTTTGTATGACTGTATTCTCATTTTGTTTGGTCTCATTTGATAGAATGGAAGATATATTACAAAAATAGATATAATTCTGATTCGCTTCACACCAGAAAGTACCTTAACCCTTTTGGGGTTGCGGCCGTACTAGTACGGCTTATGCACCAGGGTTTTTGACGTACTAGTACGCATAAATTCTAGCGCCCTCAAATCTAGCAAGAGAAAGCTGGTAGGCCTACATATGAAAGAATGGGTCTATGTGGTCAGTGTGTGCAGTATAAAAAAAATCCTGCAGCACACAGTGCGTAGTGAGAAAAAAAAAACTTTGACCATGTTTTTGGTTTAAAACAGAGACTTTGCACTGTATTTTCGTATGGTATTTATGGTTGTATTCTAGTTTTCCTGGTCTTATTTTATAGAATGGAAGACATATTACAGAAACTGTAATGATTTTGATTGGTTTCACAATGAAAAGTACCTTGAAATTGAGCTCAAAGTAGTAGAAATGTTCGAGTTTTGCCGATGTCCAAGAGTAAACAAATGACGTTACTGTCCAATACGTGTCCAACTGGCCATTCTAATATGCAGTCATGAATGGGCTCACATTATTTATAAAATTATTACAATAACGCAGTAGTCTGCATAAAAGTAAATCTTCTGTTTTTTGCGTGAATAACAATTCAAAATGTGTAACATAAGAGGGGCCTGGAGACATGACTAATGAACAGACAAAATGCTATCTTAGTGCTAGGAATGTTTGCATTGTTTATTTTGGACCCTATTTTGAAATTGGCATCTCTTGAAATTTATGTGAAACTGGCCAAATTACCAACTTCTGACTACTCTATTGGGTAGCTAAAATAGGTAATTGGGCAGTTTCTTGTACTCAATAAACAGAATAGAAGAAATATTAACAAAATAGCTATGAATTTGGTAGACAAGTACTGGAACAATGGAATGGGACAAAAATAGGGCATAAAATGGGTGAAATCACCGATGTGTAAATACTGCCACTGGGTTAAGTATATTCTAACCTAATCACTCTGTAATCCGGCAAAATCACTAATCTGGCACCCTACAGGTCCCGATGATGCTGGATTAGTGATGGTCAACCTGTACAACACCAAGTTTTTGCTCTATCTCGATGATCTCTCTGCTAACATTACCTTTCCTTCCTTGTGACATTCACGTTATTAAGCAATCTGGTAACCCTTTTTTTTCCTGCTTCTGTATAATCTTCTATGCTCTCTGTGTCTGATCTTCTTTGTCTCCTCAATTGTACATATTTAATACAGACCTGGTATGCTTCTGTGTTCAGGTACTTGTGGGTTGGAATGGTATGTGTGTAGCCTATAGTGCAGCTGGGTGGGGAGGGGGTTGAGGCTGAGATCTGCATGTACAGCTTTGTGAGTTGTATGAAGGGGCTAGAAAGGATGTGTGGGTTGAATGTGGTGGTTGAGGACAAATGGAATTTATAGTCTGCTGTGGTGGGGAGGGCAGAGTTGAGTAAGATCAACCTAGCATGGGTCAGTAGGCCGACTGTAGTGCTCCTCTGTGTAAAGCCTACACTAATCATAGTGTGTGTGTGTTGGCTGAATATGGTGATAGTGGTAAAATGTTCATATTTCTCAATCAATTAGTTTTTCTTGACAATCAAAGACAAAAGTGCAGAAAATCTTTCATAGCCCACAACAAAAACTGTCATATCCCAGAACACAACTGACATCCCCCAATACACAAACTGTCATACCCTACACAGAAACTCTACCTAGCATGGAACAGTAGGTCCACCTCGCATGGAACAATAGGTCTACCTAACTCAAGAGATCGTGATCATTCTGTTTCTTATGTTTATGCCTCTCACTTCCTCCCTCTGGCTTTCGATTTCATTAGTTTCATTAACTATTCACCTTTTCACTCACTCTCACTTTACTTGCAATAAAACTTCCAGAAAAACAGGAAACAGAAAGCAGAAATGTTCGATTTTTACCAAAGTTCAAAAGTAAACAAATCATACTATGTGTCCAATACACATCAACTGGTGAGTCTAATATTCTTTCACAAGTGCGCTGATATTATTTATACCATTTCTACATTAATGCAGTAGTCTGCATAACAGTAAATCTTCTATTTTTTTGTAAGAATAAAAATTCAAAGTGGAAAGCAAAAGAATGTAAGAGGGGCGTGGGGACGTGACTAATGAACAGAGGAAATGTTATTTTAGTGCCAGGAATGTCTTTCTTGTTTATTCTAGACGCCATTCGGAAATTGGCATCTTTTGAAATTTGTGTGAAATTGGCAAAATTGCTAAATTCTGACAACTGTATTGGATAGTTGAAATCGGTAAATGGGTGGTTTCTTGTACTCATTCGATAGAAAAAATGGAGTTCTAGCAAAATAGTTATGATTTCTGTCGACAAGTACACTGGAATTGGCCGAAAATAGGGCTCAAATTGGGCAAAATCGCCGATGCGCAAAACATCATCGAGACCGCTAACTTCGCAAGAGCATAATTCCGTAAGTTTTCCATCAAATTTCATATTTTTGGTGTCATTATGATTGGGAAAAGATTCTCTATCTTTTCATAAGAAAAATGTTTTTTTTTTTTTTTAAACTTGGCCGACCCTGAGAACAAGTCTCTGAGAGGGCCTGTCGACCTTGAAAGGGTTAAAATATTTTTGTTCTTAGTTTATAATGAATGGTGAATATATTTATTGTAGGACGTCTGAATAACTGAAGAATAGGTGTAGTAATTGAAAACCGCTGTATTAGCGAAATGCTGTAAAGTGAAACACTGTAAAGCAAGGCCCTCCTGTATTTTAATTTTATGTAAAAAAACAAAAACTAACAGAAAATTCTTACCTTAACCTTAACGACTTTAACGACTTTGTGGACCTTGGCCTCGCAAAAGGCTCCCTTATACTTGGCAGATACCTCAGTTCCCACAGTCAGAAAGGGAGGATCCTCAGGCTGAAAAAAGAGGAAATTCTGTTTAAAATCAAATCATAATGTTAATCTGTCATTTGAGATATCTTAGATTTAGAATTTCAGATTTATAATTACTGAAGATTTAAGAAAATTTTAATTTTAAATCTTTATTGGCATGTGGTTGTCAAGTTTTACATCATTCTCCGTCTCAATGACGACTATCACGTTGTGGATGATGTATGAGCAAGTACAAAATAGTGCTGTTGAAATTCACCTTGTAAGACTGAGTGCAGATGTGCATATCCCGAAAGGAAAAGAAAAACACACATGAAGTTAAATACCTGTGGCAACCACATGTCAACGAGGGTGCAAGACCACACACAAGCTAATAGCTGTGGTCCTGCCCAGCAAGCTGCAAATTATGTTTGTGAAGGAATCGTGTTCTCCTTGCGATCATAACTGAGCTGAAGGTCACTGTGTCAAGAATTAATAGAAAATATTGAGTACAAAGTCAACTCCTAATTCTCAAGAGATAATGACCAAACTAAATAAAAATTACAACGCATTATTGTAATACTGTAAATGTGTACTATATACTGGCTTTTTATTTGCTAACTGAATAACAGGTAAAAAATGGACTATATACGTATATTGTTTTGAATATCTCCATGCAGTACTGAAAACTCTTGAACCCTTAAACTGTCCAAACATAGATCTACGTTGATGTGCGTAGCGCTCCAGATGTAGATCTACATCAGATTTTACATGCTTTCTTATGTAAAAAAAAAAAACATAGATCTACGATCAGAGCGCTACGCACATCAACATAGATCTACATTTGGTACTAAACATTTATAATTGGAATTTGAAAAATAGGCATCTCATCCCTAAATGCTTGGCCCCCACAATACAACATTTGCTAGAGCATACCTGTGACCCCACATACCTGTGATCCCACATTTCTGTGCCCCCCACATACCTGTGACCCCATATCCCTGTAACCTGCTACAAGAGTTCTAGCATGCTCACAGCCAGGCAGTCTTGTTCACCACCTCTTCAACCTGACTATTCAAAGTTTATTCTCTATAAATCCGGATTACAATGCTGAGTTTACAGAATTTGGTTATTGTATTGTTTACATGTAGTAAAATAATAATTACAGAGTGTACCACTAGAACACCTAGCATGGCTAGGCATTTCGGGCAGACTTAAATTAAATCTTAAGTTTAAAATATTACAAAATTATGAGGTAAGTTGGTATTATGGCTGTGACTAAATACTAGTTTGTGAGTTTAGCAATGTGAATGCTTTTGTTTTGGCACTATACATAGTTTCAGTATTGGAGTATAACAGGCCAACTTATGACTAGTTAAGATTCATTATTTTGAGATTGAGATTGATATTTCTGTTTATGGTCAAATGGGTGAGTGAGTGTAAGTGTTGACCACCAGGTGGTATTCGTGTAATTAGTTGACAGGGTGTATCAGGGAGATAAGATGTTTTCTGATGGTAGTTTTGAAGTTGATGAATGTGTCTGCAGTTTTAGAATTTTCAGGTAGGGTGTTCCGGATTTTAGGGCCTTTGACATATATTGAATTTTTGTAAAGGTTTAGTCGGACACGGGGAATGTCATAGAGATGTTTGTGTCTGGTATTGTGCCTGTGGGTTCTGTCGCAACTATCAAGAAAGCATTTTAGGTCAAGGTTAATATTGGAATTTAAGGTCCTGTAGATGTAGATTGCACAGTAGTAAGTGTGGATGTACTGAACAGGAAGTAAGTTTAGATCTATGAAGAGTGGGGGGGTGTGTTGCCAGGGATGGGATTTAGTGATTATTCTTACTGCGGCTTTTCGTTGGGTTATTATTGGCTTTAGGTGTGTTGCTGCAGTTGAACCCCAAGCACATATAGCATAGGTGAGGTATGGATATATAAGTGAATGGTATAGTGTGAGAAGGGCAGTTTGCGGCACATAGTATCGTATCTTGGAGAGGATCCCCACCGTTTTGGATACTTTTTTGGTTATGTGTTGGATATGGGTGCTGAAGTTCAGGTTGTTGTCGAGGTATAGGCCTAGGAATTTGCCCTCATTGTGTTAGCAATCCAGAGGCCCAAATAACCATCACAACACAGCTAATTAGGAATTTGCAGGAGATATTGGTTTGGTTTAATTTTAAATTTCTTCTTTAGCTTTCATAATATTTCTGATTTTTGTTTTTTTACAGACTGAAGAGTCTTGAGCTATGGATGCTGACAGTGGTCTCTAATGGTCATTATGGCCCCCATGCCTTTCACTATGTTTGTTCCACACTTTCTTCCATATCTTTCAGTCCAGAAAGCTATGGCAGGATGTAGATTGGGGGACTAGGTCCCTAAGAAATTTTCATTCTCATTCTCTCTCTCTCTCATTCTCTCTCAATTTTTTTTTGTACTCAGGGTTTGATAAGGTTAAAGATCCCTAGCTTTATTGACAAGCTATTTACAGGTTAAGGATTCCTAACTTTATTGGCAAGCTAAGAGCTGTTACCTACATCAGCTCATTTGAAAGCATTTTTATTGTTATGAGACATACAAGTAGGGAACAGGATGAAGTTGGAGCCATCTGTGGGCCAGCATTTTCATTTGATCAACTGATTTTATCTCGTTGACATCATTATGCTGTACTAATGTGTTCCATACTCGAGTCATCCTGGGTATGTATAATCTCAGATGGAGTGACGTTCTGGAGAAGGGTACAGCCAGAGTGAAGTTGCTGCTTTCTGCCCTTCTTGTGGCATAAAAGCTTGTTTCACGCTGTCCTCGAAGTGGATCCAAGTGTGGTACTTTGACAATATTGGCCTTGTACATAACAGTAAGGCCACCCAAATCCCTCCTGTGTTGAAGGCTCTGCTGAAATGACAGATCTATCCAGGATTGGTCCAGGCGAGAGATGAGACGTCTTGCTCTGTTCTCTACTCTGTCAAGCAGTCGCAGATGAGAGGGGGGGCAGGCAAACCAAGAAAGTGGAGCATACTCAAGGTGTGAGCATACTTGTGCCTCATACAGAATCTTGCAACCCCTACACACACACACTCGCACTCTCTCTCACACACTCACTCTCTCTCTCTCTCTCTCTCTCTCTCTCACAATCACTCTCTCACTCTCTCTCTCACAATCACTCTCTCACGCGCGCTCTCTCTCACGCGCTCTCTCTCTCACGCGCTCGCTCTCTCCCCGCGCTCGCTCTCTCACCGCTGCTCTCTCACCGCTCTCTCTCTCACGCGCTCTCTCTCTCACGCTCTCTCTCTCTCACGCGCTCTCTCTCTCACGCGCTCTCTCTCTCACGCGCTCTCTCTCTCACGCGCTCTCTCTCTCACGCGCTCTCTCTCTCACGCGCTCTCTCTCTCACGCGCTCTCTCTCCTCACGCGCTCTCTCTCCACGCGCCCCTCTCTCCTCACGCGCTCTCTCTCTCACGCGCTCTCTCTCTCACGCGCTCTCTCTCTCACACGCGCCTCTCTCACACGCTCTCTCTCTCACACGCTCTCTCTCCCCACACGCTCTCTCTCTCCACACGCTCTCTCTCTAAACACGCTCTCTCTCTCACACGCTCTCTCTCCCCACACGCTCTCTCTCTCACACGCTCTTTTTCTCACATCGCTCTCTTCTACACGCTTTTCCTCTCCACACGCTCTCTCTCTCACACGCTCTCTCTCTCACACGCTCTCTCCTCACACGCTCTCTCTCTAAAACACGCTCTCTCTCTCACACGCTCTCTCTCTCACACGCTCTCTCTCTCACACGCTCTCTCTCTCACACGCTCTCTCTCTCACACGCTCTCTCTCTCACACGCTCTCTCTCTCACACGCTCTCTCTCTCACACGCTCTCTCTCTCACACGCTCTCCCCTTCACACGCTCTCTCTCTCACACCTCTCTCTCTCACACGCTCCCCTCTCACACGCTCTCTCTCTCACACGCTCTCTCTCTCACACGCTCTCTCTCTCACACGCTCTCTCTCTCACACGCTCTCTCTCTCACACGCTCCCCACCCCTCTTACACGCTCTCTCACACGCTCTCTCACACGCTCTCTCACACGCTCTCTCACACGCTCCCCTCACACCTCTGGGGGGGGGGGGGGGGTCACACGCTCTCCCCACACGCTCTCTCACACGCTCTCTCACACGCTCTCTCTCTCACACGCTCTCTCACACGCTCTCTCCCTTCACACGCTCTCTCTCTCACACGCTCTCTCTCTCACACGCTCTCTCTCTCACACGCTCTCTCTCTCACACGTTTCTCTCTCTCACACGCTCTCTCTCTCCCCCGCTCTCTCTCTCCACCGCTCTCTCTCTCACACGCTCTCTCTCTCACACGCTCTCTCTCTCACACCTCTCTCTCTCACACGCTCTCTCTCTCACACGCTCTCTCTCTCACACGCTCTCTCCTCTCACACGCCTCTCTCTCACACGCTCTCTCTCTCACACGCTCTCTCTCTCCCCAACGCTCTCTCTCTCACACGCTCTCTCTCTCACGCGCTCTCTCTCTCACGCGCTCTCTCCTCCACACGCTCTCTCTCTCACGCGTTTCTCTCTCACACGCTCTCCTTCACACGCTCTCTCTCTCACACGCTCTCTCTCTCACACGCCTCTCTCTCTCACACGCTCTCTTCTCATACACCTCTCTCTCTCACACGCTCTCTCTCTCACACGCTCTCTCTCTCACACGCTCTCTCTCTCACACGCTCTCTCTCTCACACGCTCTCTCTCTCACACGCTCTCTCTCTCACACGCTCTCTCTCTCACACGCTCTCTCTCTCACACGCTCTCTCTCCACACACACCCCACTCCACACACACTCTCACACACTCACACACTCTCTCACACACTCTCTCACACACTCTCTCTCACACTCTCTCTCACTCACACTCTCTCTCACACACTCTCTCACACACTCTCTCACACACTCTCTCACACACTCTCTCACACACTCTCTCACACACACTCTCTCTCACACACTCTCTCTCACACACTCTCTCTCTCACACACTCAAAGGCAATGGGGCCAGATAACATCTCCCCATGGGTATTGAGAGAGGGAGCAGAGGCGCTATGTGTACCCCTAACAATATTCAAAACATCTATCGAAACAGAGAGATTGCCTGAGGCATGGAAGACAGCAAATGCAGTCCCAATCTTTAAAAAAGGAGACAGACATGAAGCATTAAACTACAGACCAGTGTCACTGACATGTATAGTATGCAAAATCATGGAGAAGATTATCAGGAGAAGAGTGGTGGAACACCTAGAAAGGAACGATCTCATCAACAGCAGCCAACATGGTTTCAGGGACAGGAAAACCTGTGTCACAAACCCACTGGAGTTCTATGACATGGTGACAGCAGTAAGACAAGAGAGAGAGGGGTGGGGGGATTGCATTTTCTTGGACTGCAAGAAGGCGTTTGACACAGTTCCACACAAGAGATTGGGGCAAAAACTGGA